CCCCCCCCCCCCCCCCCCCCCCCCCCTCTCTACTACATGCATCCACAAAATGCAAGGCCTTTTTATGGACAGCTTGTCCAAAAAGAGGAATTACCCACATGGTTGAGGCCCTCATTCCATATGGCACCAGGCTATTAACAAACATTAGTTGACTGTAATAGCGGTGGTATTAAATTCATTATCTTTTCTATGTGAGGTGTGTGTGTGTGTGTGTGTGTGTGTGTGTGTGTGTGTGTGTGTGGTGCTAGAGTGTATGAACACACGCTCAATGTGTGCCAGTGTGTGTGATTAGAGACTTCTAATGTTCCAGCTCTGGGGATTTGTAGCATGAGATAAGAAAGGGCATTAATGGTGAATTGTGACGGTCCAACAGAGCAAAACTGTTGTTTGAAATGTGGGTATGTTTCCTTTGCTGAATCGTTTTTTACCCTAACTATTTACATATTGTCTCACATAGAAAGATTTTTTTAGCTCAGCGCCTCAAAAAAACACACAGGAAAGCCATGTATGAGCAAGTGGCTTACGAGACCAGTGAGTGAAATTCAATCTATTTGATTTTCTATTTTCCTCACTTACCACATATCTGTTTTAATCTTACCTTAAGCATCCTTGAAATGAGTTGTAATCCAGTTAAGCCTTTTTGAATCTGCTTCACAGCCATATTACACGCATTCATACCATAAACATTCACACTGCCAAACAGTAGCTCACTGAGTGACAAAATTCACATACTGTAGATGTTAAAAGATCAAGCACTGGTATTTGCATTGGTGCAGGCACTGCAAAAAGAAACAGTGTTTAGTCGACGTTCCCCAGGTTAAAAAGGTCAAAACAATAAGTAATGTCACAACACATACATTTGAGGCACAATACAATACTGTAGACAGTTTGTCCAGTCACTCTGGAGAATCACTATTTCCTGTCATGCAAAACTGTCACCCTCTCCTTTTACTCAGAAAAACATAGAGCAATATTCTGGGCATAAACTGCCAAGCGAAAGCTAAAAGACACATGACAAGTGTTTGTATTAATACTCCAAACCTTGGATCAAATGCTGGGCCGACAAAAATCAACAAAACAAGTCAATTTTCCTCCATTTTCTCCAGTGAATACGTCTTCAGAGGGATTAATTCTCCTCTGTGATCCTGTTCTCATTACAAGAAGCAGGGAAGTCAAACACACATAATAACAGGGCTGACTGCTGTTCCTTTGTAGCATGTGGCTACCTAAATGATCCTAAATAAGATAGATGACATGGATAAAGCAAATCATAATCGGCATTTTGCACAATGGAACATAATAGTCTGAAGAGAACAAGGGACAACATACAGAGCTCCTGTTTCCATCGCCTGGAGCAGCACACCTAGTCGAGAGCAATTAAAATGAGAGGATTCAATTTTGTCAAACACCGGGAACCTAAGATAAATCTTGTATCTCATTTTCCAGCGGAGGACACCGCCTCACGCCGGTGCTATCGTGTTTGTTATGGTATTTTGAAGAAACAGCTGGCTACTGACAGAGTTGGTAAAACAACCCCCTTCCCCCAAATGATGCTAATCCCAATCATTTCGAGACCCAGGGGTGAGAGAGAGAGGGAGAGTCGGGTGAGACTGGGAATACATTTGATTTCAGACTGTGGTGTTGGTGGAAAATGTAGACAGAGCAGGAGGGGGAGCAATACAGCATGGTTTCCATGTGGGAGAAATCCACTTACTTGAACTGATAAAGATTTAATCAACACATGACTCTGCAATTACTCCATAATTAAAGTAATTTGTCCCCTTGTTTGGATGAGACGCCCCATGCCTCTGTGAGAGCACACGAGAGGAAGAGGGCATCAGAGGCTCAAAGAGGTACACTCGTAATGTTTGAATTTAATGCTGGATTTTCCAAACCTATTTCCCCCCTCATATGTTCTAATAAAATATTTGTTCCAGCTCCTCTTCAGCCTGTGTTTATTTGCCTTTTATTTGACAACTCATTTGTTATTCATCGAGAAAGTAATAAGCTGAGTAGGCTGAGCACAAAGTATCATCAAGAGCCACATGAAATAGTAAATAGGCCTGATATAATCATAATCCTCTTCAAACTGCACTGCATACAGCTTCAATTGTGTAATGTTGGCGCTACAAAGCTTGCTGAAACCTGAAAAAAATACCTCTGAAAAAGTGACGCTTTTGTTTGACCAGATCAAATTGCATGAATCAAAAGTGAGATTCAGAGAGATGTGTGAGGTGTTTGACCTTGGGCAGAACTAAAGAAACGTCCAATATACTCCACCATCTAATTTATCGGGAGATTGTTTTTAAATGACCGGCAACTTTATTATATTAAAAACCAGGGAGACCAATGTGTCTTGTGTTTGCTTCTAAAGGGTTGTTACTTAATTTAAATGAGGGGAAGAGCACTATCTCTTATTTACAGATGATGATCTGCATATCATTTGCCTCAGTTGCATGCTGGGTAATTGGGGTAAACATCGCAGCCTTCAACTTGCCATCTCAGGTGTCTTACTGATAACTTGGCTCACAGCCCGCAGACACCTGTGGCATTTCACATGTTAGGGCTCAGGACAAGGAAGCACATAGAACTAAGGCCCAACTCTTTAAAACTGCCAATTGAAGGTATCCTCTGGTATGTAACAGCTGATGTTGCACATTATAATCTAATCTATATTGCTGGCTGTTGTCAGAAAAACCTAAATATATATTTTTAAATGCTTACCCAAGAAAATTGCTTGATCACTATTTCAAATTTTGCAGTTTTCTTAAATGCGAGTCTGACAGAATGTTCTCGTCTCATGGAGCAGACTGGAGTCTGAGATTAAAACAGCAGTATTGGGGTAACTGGACTGAACTAGTCTAATAAAAGACGGGAAATGTAGGATTCAGCATATTTTACCCATTCTATAGGAACTATAAGTTTTTCCAACTTTTATTATTATTATTTTTTTTAACTCTCCCTTGTGGGTTCCTTGACTTCATGAAATTGCAATCCTAAAATGCTGGAGTATCCCTTTAATATCACGAGTTTACTCACTGTATTGAATTCAATTGTCAGGTTAAATAATAATGAATGTGTATGTGACGTTACTTATCCAAAGAGGAACTTTTTAGTAAAAATATAATGCAGCTGAAAATAATGATCCGGTAAAATTGAGATGTGCGGCTGTGAAAAGTGTTAGAAGTTAATTCGGTTTAAAGAGGTTATGATAGAAGCACTGAGATGTTTGTCTGTTACTAAGACCAGCGTCAGTGTAGCACATGAACCTTACTTTCTCATCCAGGAAGCTGGTTCAAGAAAAAATATTGTATCATTCCACTTTATTTGCATAACCCTGCCCTGCTTAAGGCAGGGGAGTCACCGAGTGATCTCAAAATTAGCATGCTGTCACCTTCAGAGTCTCTTCTGTCATTCAGAAAAACAGGCAAGTGTGCAGACATGAACCCATCTCACATCTACTGCAGCAATGTTAATTTAGATAGCATGGCATCCCACAGCTCCATTCCTCTCCAAACGCCGAACTGACATGTTATGTATTTAAATCCCTTTCATGTGCCCTTATTATAGAGGCGATGAAGTCACATGCGAATGATGGAAAATGTCATCATCATGGTACAATATTTTTGCATGCACATAAAAATAAAAGCTAAAAACTACTCACTACTGTGCATATGTGTCAGCCATGTCTTATGTACGATGCCAGGATTTGAATCTAGCATAAATCTAAGAACGGTATAATTAATTTTGAAAAACAATATATAGAAAAACGAAGACGCATGGGATGTTAAAGATGAATCAGTAAATGTCCAACTATAAATTTATATCCTCTCCTGTGGTAGCGTAATTATTGTCAGGCACCTATGGCCATGCATATTTAGTCCGTTCATTTTCTCTTGCTTTAAATGTATTTGTAATGTTTTTATACCGAGTATATTTCATCATTAACATCAAACGTCCATTTCTTTGCTGTGTTTTTGGCTATTCAATGCCGCAGGCTCAGTGGTTCGGTGGGCATATAGTGCCGACCTCTCTATTGCTGAGGAAATAGTGCCCTCCTGTGGCTTCACAGGGAGACTACACTCGGCACTGAACACCGGCGAAGGTTGCTCATGCACTCATTTCCTCTGGTAAATATTAAGATGGAGCTGATACGATGCACCGTGAAACGTGAACAAAACAGACTTCAAGAAAAATGTGTCTCTTATCTCACAGAATACTGGGTTTGATAGAGCTATGAAAATAAAAGGGCCATTTTGGCACCCAAGATAGCGGGGAAATGCTCACGCTGAGTGATGAAACACATATGTAACTGTGATTAAATATTACCGCTGTGTTGTGCGTACACAGCTGGAGACATCTGCAGTTCAAAAGGCAGAGAGGCCTCACAAAAGTAGCTCCGTCAACTGCACATGCCTTCATAAGCCGCTGAATATCACATCCATACCGTACCAGACTCTCAGCCTAAAATCAGAAACAACTCACTTTAAGACATTTAAAAACTTTTATTCTTTGCAAAGGAGGCATGGGGAGCATCAGTGTGTTCTATGGCTTGTGTACAGACAAAATCATTGAACAAGGCCTTGGGTGAACCGAGGGCCCCACCCTTTTTTTCCCACCAGGAATGTTTGGGGCCGCTACTCAGCAGCTGTTACAGAACACGGTCCTAAGCGGCGGGCACAGTGTTGGAGCTGAAAGTGTTGGAGAGGAATGCTACTGTACAATATGCGGCTTAGTACTTGACCCTGCTCGGAAGTTACGCTCTGTGGTGCGAGTGAAGCGTAATGCTGCGGATAGGTATGTTTCTTTTAAGAAGGAGCCAACAAAGTCAAATCCCCCAGCAGTCCACTGCTACTGTGATCATGTGTTTTTTGTGACGCCCTTAATCAAGGTGGATTCTGCCCCTCTCTCAGTTCCATTCACCCTTAATGCAACCTGAAGAACATTTGAATGCTCTAATAGCAACGCCACCCTCAACATCTCATAATGCTAACGCTCAATACTTGATGTACAAGAGGCGGAATGAATGCCTCCAACTACACTCTGCATATGGGCACAGTCTGGTAAGCGAACATCACAGAAGAATGCACGATTCGTCCCAGATTCTTCAGTTTCAATTGATCTGCTGCTTGGGTTTTTGGACAACTTGACTCATCCACACACACACAATAGAACCTACCAAATTTGGCACGGTGTGTGATAATATCATTATTCCCTTGAAGCTGGTTGCTAGCAGCTGAACAGCCTCGACTATAATCCAGAGCTGTCAACATTCCACCGTAGCAGCAGTTTGGGTTTAGGATTGTTTACAGAAACACTTTGGATCGGAGAGAGTGGTCGTTACATCTTGCATGTGGCGGGGGGGGGGGGGGGGGGGGGGGGGGGGGGGGGGGGGGGAACCAGCTCCTCCTTATATTTGGTATAATCTCTGGATGCTGCTGAGACTGTGCCCAGGTTTAACAGCGTACAAATCATTGGATCAGACCCAGCATGGGATAAAGCTAACAACAGTGCAGATTGAATACAGTACGTGTGTGTGTGTGGGGCACGGCTAGCTAGCAAGCTAAGCGAGCAGGTGCGGCTGATGCATACGGTGGTACAGCTCTAATCTTTCACTGCCAATTGGCCTCGCCTGTAGCTGTAACAGCACAGCCATTGAGAAAGTTAGTTGCATGGTTAAAGTACCACCAGTGAGGAGAGTCGATGTATTTCAGTACATTCATTGTCAAAGCCTGCGAGGTTGGTTCGCTTCCTGTTCTCTCTGGTAGTGTTTTGGGTGGCGGGCGAGATCATAGAAAGGGGATCGGGGTGAAATGATGCAGGCCGATTTAAACAAAGCCCAAAGGGAGTCCAACCCACATACACACTCACACATGCACACATTCTCACCCACACACACGTTATTTATGCAGGAGAAAAATATATTAACATTTGAATTACAAAACACTACATGGGCCTCAGTGTAGTAAAATACCTCTTCTGTCAGATACAAACGTGTTGAAGAATCCATGTGTCATTTCCATATGTCTTATGAATGCAAAACTATCTCTCCCTTTGCCATCTTCTCTCATTTATTAAAAATATTCCCACCGTTTAATGGGATTTGAGGCACTGGATTATATCTCTGTACATTAAGTCCTTAAAGTCTGTTTAGCAAACGGAAGCCCAAATCTGGAGAACTACATGACCTAGATGCCATTAGGGGGTTCAGGGCCGACGGGGCAATGGGGAGCACTTAACTAGTTAGCCATTAGACCCAGAGTCTCTCTTGGCTTTTCTCCCAGCCAACAGTCCAGCTGTCTGGCTCTGTAAAAACTTTAAATCATTCTCAATTTATTCCTTCAACAACCTTAATTCTCCAGCCCTCGGAATGGAGAACCAGCAGTCGTTTGTAGTTTAAAACAGCTGAACCAGTATTTCATTCTGGAGGAGCAAGGCATCTGTGGTCCAGTGTGCTTCACGTCTCTGTATCCCACAGTGGCCATCCAAATAGCCACGCGAGGCCCCTGAACAAGCCGTAGTGGCTCTCTGTTGTGCAGAATCCACAGTATATGACCGGAACTTGAGAAGACTTACTTCTTCCCACAGCTGGCTTACATGAACAAAAGAAAGCACAAAATAATCGGAACAGTTTCACAGCATGTTGGCATTCCTGTCTAATCTCCTCTGCCGGAGCAGGACCCTTCGGCTCAGTCCACCGGGCCCTGGAAGATTAGCTTGGACCAGCCCTGAGTGAGGCCGAGCTGGGTGGCACAGAAGGGGCAGGCGCTGTGGAAGGCGTGGGTGCCGTGGGGCAGAGGGATATCGGCCCAGTACTTGACAGACTTCTCCGAACACACGTGTCCGCACGGCACGAAGGCGTGAGTGGGAGCGCCCGTGTCCACGTAGAAGGCCGGCTCACAGCCCAGCCACAGCGGCACGTAGGGCCCGACCACCCGGCACATGGGACACTCTCGCTGAGCGCTGGCCTCCTGCTCCGAGCGGTGGCCCCAGTTGTGGTGGCCGTGAACGTGGCCACAGGCCAGGTAGACCCACGGCTGCTTGTCCTCCAGGGAGGAGAGGGCGCGGCTGCGTTGCATGCTGGGGAAGGCGAGCGTGTTGAGGCCCACGGGGCACTGGGGGCGCCCTGCGTTGATCTCCTGCCTGAGAGCCTCCAGGTGCTTTTGGGTGGGAGTGTGAAAGAGGCCTTCTGCAGTACGCCACAGCAACGTGGCTCCACACAGATCCACCAGGGAGCCGTCCTGCAGTATATTATTCTCATGCTCCACCTGCAGACGCACATTTAGTTTCTGAGAGAATGCTTTGGACATGCATGCAACCGTCACAGACATATTTGTGCATTGAGAAACATCTGCCTGATCCTGCATCTGCTCCACTTAAGTCGCAGTGACACTTCTGCTGTGTACGTATATACCGCATGTATGAAGCTACTGACCAGTTTGCCTGGGGTCTGTGCTGAGCGGGTCTCTCTCAGTGTGTAAACATCCCCACAAACAGAGATCTCTCTCCATACGCCCGGCTTTGACTCCTCCGTGAACCCGCCCCTGGGGTGCATTACCAGCACACCATTGGTTGTCAGTCCGTCCATGTGACCGTCGGGGTTCTTCCACTTTGCGGCTTTTTCCTGCAGGCGAGACGGAGTACAGACGAAAGTGAAACAGTGACAGGAATTTGTTTATCTGATTAGAAGTCGGCTAGGACTAGATTGAAAGAAACAAACTGGCCATCCAGCCCTCCAATAGGACAGCAGTGCAAGTAAAACTGGTAATTACCCCGAGGAAGATGTTTTTGGAAGAATCAAACCCAGCTGCGTAGATGCGAGCAGTGAAAGGCGGGTTACGCTCACAGACAACTCGGCACGCAAAGCGGGAGATGGTGCTTTGTGTGATGGGAGTCTCCTCTCCCTCCTGGCCTCCTGCTATTGTGTCAGTCACCACAAAGTCTATGGGGCTCTCAGTGGAACGCCCAATCTACAAAGCAACACAGAAACCAATGAATTGCATGCTATATTATTGCATGTGATATCAGACACCCCCCCCATGAAAGAAATATCCAAACGGTTCTTAAACTTAACAAGCGGAGGTAAAAAAATAAGCATTTCCTCATTTCTAACATCTACAAGTGTTGCTTGTATCTTAGTTTCCACTTCTCTGCTGCTTGACTATTTAGTCAGCGTTGTTTAAAGACACTTGGACACAAAACAGAGCTGAATGTGAAGCATGTGCCTGCAGTGCTGATTTCCCTCTGGTCGTCGTCTCCTCGCTGTACATTCAGATTAAGACAGAACAGTGGACAGTGCACGTGCACAATCTGGGGCAGTGTTAAGTTCAGGAAGGGAGAAATTTGGATAAATGGGACTCTGGGAAAGGACGTGTTATTCTAAACACAATCCTAACAGATGACAGTGTCTCTTCCTGGGTTCTCACCTGAAACATGTCTGTGTCTTTGTCATGGCTGTACTCCACCACCACCGTATGGTTCCTGGACAATGTGTAGGAGATGCTGTGTTGGCCTTTACAGTTCACAGCCTGAAGCATAACAACCAACTCGTTACAAACATGCTAACCTATTGTGATGCCACATTAAAACACAACAAATATATATTCTAACTATTTAGGTTGAAGCACTTAGCACACCAACAACAAGGGGGTGTTTTACGGTGTTGTGTTATAGTGACGTCAGTAGAAACCCTTTCATGTCTTGGCTTGTGGCTTTAACACCAGATCTGAGTGCCAACGGTTCACAAACAGGAGCTGGAGAGAATATATCTTTCCACCCTGTTATTTACAACAACAAAACATCATCAGGCGTTTTATTACAATGCATTATTACTGGGTTATAACAAACAGCAAAGCAACAAAATTTCTTCATTATATTACCTATAAGCAAAGATCTGTGGCAAGAATGTCTGGTAGAGGAAACGGGGAAGTGCATGATAAGTCACACTCCCGTGACAGTGACCATAAACTGGCCTCACTTAACACGAGCTCGCCGACCAGCTGAGCTGCTCTCAGTCAGTGTAGTGTAGGCAGGGTGGGTCAGAGCCACTCAGCCCCCGCTCCCATCAACACTTTACCACATGTGCCACTATCATCGCGCTCTAATCTGCAAATTCCATTTCCCAAACCCCCCCCCCCCCCCCCCAAGTGCAACAGGGAGAGAGAAAGTGGGTCATCAGCGCATCCACGCACATCAGAGACAGATGACACAAATGTCATCGTCTCGACCGCGCCGCTATAAACAAATGGTGCTCCGCTGAAAGAAGTTCATGCAAACATATATTTTTATAAGCACAACACCCAACCCCCAAAATGTGTCTCTCTCACACACACACACACACACACACACACACCCTTTCTCAGTCGAAGGGTTGGAAATAAAACCACCGGTGATCCAGTCCCCAAAGGAAGGCCAATGTAAACAATCACACTTGCGCAAATGCCGTAATTGAGATTAAATGGGGGGGGGGGGGGGGGTGAGAAAAGCCGGGGCTGGATTTGAATAGGAGGCTGGCAGAGGCATCATGGGAGCTCCTCGTTATCCGTCATGAACACCAGAGTGTGCACAGACACGTGAGCTTCTGAGCCACAGAGCACTCTCAGTTCATTCGTCTGAGACTGAAGCGAGTTGGTGGACTGCTGAAGAAAAAAAGAAAATAATAAAAAACAGGAGATGGCTTGGTTGACTTTACTCTTTAATCAAAAAGAAGGCTCTCCTAAAATCAAGCTCACCACCCTGCTAGTTTCTTAAGGAATGGCTATATTTGGCTGTGTGTACAGCTGAGGGTGCAGGGTCAGCCAACTGCAACAACTTCCTCTTCAATCGACCCTCCTGACCCAAGGCCTGGTAACAGGGTGGCCGAGAGGGACAGTACTGAAAGGTGAAGGAGGTCACGGCAGCTCCCATCTCTCAGACAGTCGTGTGTCTAATTGCGTAAAGGGCACTCTTTGCTAAGTTGAGCTGTGCAGTAAAAAACGCTCGGATCCGGTGCAAACATTGTTTTCTGACTGAGAATCAACTCGTAGGATGGAGCAGCAGAAACATTTAGCCATATTTCATACAGGCCACATTTCAACTCAAACTCAACCGGAATGATGCACAATCTCTGCGATGAAGAAGCCTCTGTCACAGAGAAAACCTCAGAGACCAGGACTCAGGTTCCACAAGGTGAGAGTAACCTGAACCAGAGGGCCTTTTGCCAACCGATCTAAACGCCCAACAAATGTCTGGAATATTGGCCTCCGAGAGGTGCAGGGGTAAGCAGTTCCTCTCGCTTGTTTAGCAGTTTTTGCTTGGGAACCAAAGGCAGGAATGCAGACGTGTTATACTGGACGAGGCAGTTTCTGGCAGGCAAAGAAAAGCTATGAGGCCCAGGTAGGAACTACAGTTATTGTACTGGAAATGTCAACATGCGGGGCTGCCAACAATAATGCAACGGAGCTCACTGCAAGTTCCATAAGCAACTGAAAAAAAAAAAAAATCACTCTGCTGCTCTGAAAACGTCTGTGGTGTTTTTTTTTCCCTCAACTGTCGTTCCTCCACCTTTAATCTGCTGAGGTCAGTTACAATGTGAATGAAAAACTGCACACGTACATCAACAAAAACATACAATAACAAACAAGCAGACGGCTGTTCATTGGGACTCGTCCTCTGATGCGGTCTGTACCTTGCTGGCCTGTGGCGTGTTGAGGATGTGCACAGTGCTCGGCTTAACACCGTTGGCTTTGGTCCTCCTGTACAGCGCAAATCTGCTTTTCCGTCTACCCCGATCTCCGTTGGGCAGAGAGCCATTGTACCTGCCACGGGAGGGGAGGAGGGGGGGGGGGGGGGGGGGGGAGGAAAGGACAGCAAATTAGCATTAAAAAAATGTTTATGAAAATGCTTCCCATCATTAGTAGCTGCAGAAAGATGTGTCCAATGACATTTAAAAGGCTGAATTCATAGAACAAGTAAACAGGGAGACTTAGAAAACATTTCCGTTTTGTAAAGAGCTTTTCCGTGCATTACATCATTGGCAAATCGAATGCCCCCTATTAGCAATCTAAGCGTTACATTGGATGTCTCTTATTACATAATGCACTCTGGTACTTGTGATTTCAGTGAGCCAACTCTGTGCTAACTGCAGCTGTTCTTTTGCTGCGTGTCCCAGGCAGGAGCCGGGTTTTAAGATGCACGTCAGGTTCGCTATCACTTTGGGAAAGCACAGTGTGGGCGGAAAGCTGGCTCACGCGATTGAAAAGCGTTTTCTCACAGTTGGATTTTTTTTTTTTTTTTTTTTTTTTTTTTTACACACACGTGAAGTTCTAAGATCTTAATTTCAAAGCCTCGGCAACACTGGAAGAGAATGCTCTGTTTTGCCCCTCGGTCTGCTGTGAGGCACCGAGCCTCGGCAGCTCCTCGTGAATGAAGAAGCCCCCTCTCCATTAGGACCGCTCCTCCTCCCCATCCACCAGCTGGGACACCCCATGCTCTACTCCCCATCCAACACACAGGCCGTCTGCCTCACACTCGCATGTAACCACGGTGTGCTGAGCGGACACTATGCACAACGCAAATATCGCTATCTAAAAGCCTGGCGTTTTGCGTAACAATGCATTATCACGAGGGAGTGAACTCTTCAACCACGACACGATCTGCAAATCTTTGTTGCAACACAAAAGCAACAGTCGCAACAAGAGGTCCCTTTCTGCTCCTTCCTACGTCCCCTCCAAAGCGAGTCCACCTGTCCCGTGTCTCCTCACGGCTGGCCAGGCATGGAAACACATGGTCCCAGTCAGCACAGTGCACAAAGCTGGCCTGTAGGACAAGCCTCCCAGAGAGCTAGAGAGGCACTGAATGAAAGTACCAATACACTGACGGCAGCAGGGAAATGACTAAATAATAGTGGATACATAACCGCATTAGTGTTTAGATTGTTCACTATTGCAAAGGCTTTTAATTCTAATGTTTATTATTAATAGTGGTTGTCTTTTACATACAATCCGGTAACACGGTACAGGACAGAACACCTCAAAATTAGAGAAATATAACGTAAAATGGTCCAAAAAGATCCATGTGGAAAAGGAATACTGATGATCTATCATTCATAAACACACTTTTGAAGCTAAATCAACACCATCCTGACTCTGTACTCCTAAATAAAGAGCGACTAGACAGATATAGTATGTCTGAGTTGGATACCTGCCTTGATGTCTCAAACATTTACAGCACACAATAAGATGATATGCAGTTCAGCATTTCTCCATGATGAATTCTAACCACAGAATATAATCCTGGCTCTTTAAAAAACTCTTTCTATTATTCAGCATTGCATTGAGGAACAATGTTCTGTCATTTAGGAAGCGCCACCGTCACACTAGGCTCAGGCTTTTTAAAGCTGCCCTCTAACCGTCCCTTTTGACCTGTGCCAGACAAGACCGCGGCTTTACCCTCCAATGTTTAGGAGCCGGGATTAGAAGACTCTGGCACATCACCTTATCGTCCCCGGGGCTGCACTGAGGAGCCAACAGCACCTCCTACCTCTTATGCTAAATGAAAAGGCTAGTGTTCGCAGAAGGAGGAGGGTCACAGAGGCAAGATGACGCTGCAAAAGTAGGAACACGGGCTGTAAGTGCTTCAAGTGGGTCAATCTAAACTGTGCAAATATATAAAACAGTAAATCATCACAACATGGGAGGCAGCCAGATGGCACGGTGAGGGAGAAGATCATCGGTCTACTGACTCAGATTTAAGTACCCATCTGACTGATGAACACCACATCAGCATCTAAACAATCTGTGCCAGTTTTTACCAAAGACGTTGATTTGTGTACTTGCTTTACCGAGTGGTTCTTTAGCGGGAGACGTGTACAAAGTTCAATCAATAGGCCCAGTCTCCCAGTCACAATGGACAGAGGAAGCGGAGGAGAGGCTGAGTCCTGATCAATCCATCCTTTCATTTCCAGGATACCCCCCCCCCCCCCCCCTCTCCTCACTGACCAGCACCAAGCCAATCCATCCAAGCAGAGAGATGGGAGGGGGGGCAGCCATGCAAGTAATAAGAGCCACCACCACGGTCATGGCAACAAACCACCGAGGGAAGTGCTGCTCAAACAAGCTTTGTTCCGTGCCGTCAGCTATCTTGTCTACCATCAGTTTTATCAGCGGGGATGTGATGTCATCGCAGTGATTATACACCCGTCACAACTGATTCAAATATGTGTCTTTATGTCGGGAGAGAGAACAAAAGTATCAGCTACACACACGCCATGCGTTCAGCCCGGGGTAATAAGCAGTCAGCGCTTTTTTGTCCCCTGCAATAAGCAGTATGGGTGTGGGAGTACACTCCACCATGCTCTGCATGTGTACCCTTTACAAGGATCTACAGACACGTCGTCTCTACAGCGTGTTGAGCACAAACACCTCAAAATGCTCATTTTAAGTCAGTTGCCGAACTGGACAAAAACCCAAATCACTGATGACACAGCAGGTGTTTTCCGTTATCTGTGGCAGCCGTGGGCCCCGACAGATTATTAATACAAACATGATTGTTCAGAATGATAATTGGTCACAGTCTCCTGAACAGATCCTGAAAAAAGACTCACCAGCTTTTACTCAGTGGCAGGATGAGACACGTATACTAATGACACTATAACTACCTGGTTTTATAACATCAGCAGATTATGGATGGGTGATGTTTGACATGTTGCAATATTGGTGCCAATATGATATTTTCAGTGTAAATGGTAAAACTTGAAAGGAAGAACCTGTGAAATGCTGCCTAAACACAAGATCTCACTGGGCATGTGGTGAGTGTGAAACAATCGATTGATTGGTCGATCGGAGGAAAATTAATCAGCAACTATTTTGATGATTGTGAGTGATGGTTTAAGTATTTATTTTATTGTAAAAATGATGAACAGTCATCAGTTCCAAGTGTTTAGTTTGCTGGATTAACTAAGAACAGATATGTCATGTTTGGCAATTGTATCCATGCAGTTACTCCACATTTCCCTGTTATTATTATTATGACACGATTTACATGGATATTGTGAATTAGAATTGTATATCGTGATAAAGGACTGTATCCTAGCTGATGTTGGGCTTTAGTGGTGATAAAGCCAACAGTTAAGGTCCCCTACCTGACCGTGTGGACAGGACACGTCAGTGGATAAGCAAGGTGTGTGATTTTAAACTATTGAACGCAACAATGATCTATAGGTCCATTCTAGCACCATGGACATCATACAAACCATGGCCTTGTAGTGCGACCACAGTGTAAAGTTGTGCGGTCTGAGCTGCAGATAAGTTTAGAAAATAGGAAGAAGCCTGGAGGCTGGGGGAGGGGACCAGCACCACTTCCGAATTCCTAAAACCCCATGAACCCAACTTTTAAGATCGGAACGAGCGCCCTGGGTCAGAGTTGCTGACAGAGTCTGGGTTTCCGGGTTACTTAAGTTGCCCTGAACCAACCTTGGGACACTTTGGTTGGTTCAAATGTAGCTACCGTGTTTGACAACTGGGATGAAAAAAACAGAGACTGAAGCACTGCTGCCACCACCTCGGGGACGTGTAAACGTACACATTTCTGATTGTGCACGTGTCCTGATTAGTGGAGTAACGTGAGCGCGTGACTATAAAACTGGGCTCGATGCTTTTTCCTGAATATATATATAGAAAGATAGCTGTGTACAAGTCGATGTTTGTCTAAAATAAAAACACAGTGAAAGAGTTCACACCTTATTTTACCAACTTACACTTAACGTTGCTACGTCACCTATGCGGGTGCCCTCTCGTGAAACTTCCTCCAGATAAACACCCGCCTTCACGTTCTCGTACTGGAAGTCTATAAGGTTATGTTATCCCAAATAATACAGCAAGGCTGAACTTACCCCAGCACCACCAGCTCCCCGTACTTCACCGGGTCTTTGGACGGGGCGCAGTGCTCCTCTTGGCTCGAAGAAAACATGAGGCTTCTGGCTTCACTGACTAACATTAGCTTTACAGTAAGAGCAGCGGCTCAACAGTCACCGGGGATTATCTTCAGAAAACACGACGGGCTCTCATGTCAGACCCTGTATCCAGCTGCGTACGTCTCTGTGCCCACGACAATCCAGTTTTCTATCATTAAAGTGGTCTCAAACTACTTTAGCGTGACATGGCAAAATGTAACTTACTTGGCGGTTGAATCCGCTCTGAAGCAGATACAAAAACAGCGAGGAGCAGGGCCGGAATGTACCATTGCCTTGTTCTTTACTTTGTGTAGGGGGGGCGCCACACCACATATTTGTTTAAAATAGTGTTTTGGACCCGAGTGTGCTGTGTGAGGTGATAAATGTACTTAAATACATTAGATAGAAGTACTTTTCGTTGACTTTATTGTTGGGTAAATAAACGTTATGGTACTTGGAGTAAAACTCCCTACTTTTGCCACCTCACATAGTCAATGGATCGCACCCTGTGTTATGTAAACAAAGAGTACAATCTGGGAATTCTTAAAGGGATCATATTTTTTCTGATGTGTGTTTGTGTAAAGTTTCCAGTTTTCCATATCGAACGAGAATAAGGGTTTACGCATGTTTTCGTCAAAATATCCTTTGAATATTGTCATCACTCGCTTTTTTCCCCGGCACAAATGTATTGAGGATCGCATAATATTATTAGATATGACTGCTTTTGTATAAAGTTGCACAGGCCTATATGAGCCTACAGAAGGTGGGGCAGTAATAGTGGGAAACACATGACGATATTCCTCCTGGTACATTTCCTGATTGTGATATCATGTACTCTACTGATATCATGTACTCTACGTGATGGTGAAATCAGGTTTGCTCATTTTATTGTTGACCCCTTGGGCCCTTTCAATAACTTTATTTGATTATGACTTTATTGCAGTTGGCTAATGCATGTGATTGTTTGTGCAACCCAATGACGTGACTTTTTATCTGCATGCCTGGGAGTTTTATTTTCACATTACTATTGCTCATTTTTATCATTTCATTTAGTTGTCTAGCTTCCTATTCTCATCCTTCCTTTTGTTGGTTGCTGGCCTACAGGTACATCCTTATTTCTTTCTGTAATAGCTTATTATTCACCTGGCTCCATGTGAGAAGATGCAAATCAGTCTAATAATAACGACCATGGCCTAGTAATCTGCTTAATTGCTTCTTCTGAGAATGGCTCACAGAATGGCTCATGTAACCAAATGTCCACACCTTATGAGAGGATGTCAAGGAAAATCTCAACCTTCCAATATCCCCACAAGTCCAGTTGTTCTCACGCCTCTCTGATGAATGTGCCACTTCTCCACCTTTGTCTGGCATTCTCATCAACATTTTACTGCCCCTGTCTTGTTTTCACAAGGAGCTTCATGGCTGGAGGTGCCCTTACTGCTTCAGGCCCCTCCAGTGGTCCTATTGCCTTTGCAATTATGGCCTCCTGTTTGAACTGGTGTTCAGTTTCAAAGCGCTCTCTATCACTTGACACAAAAACAAAAGGTAGCAGGGGGTCACCGGGGCCCATGGAGGAAGCCTCCCCACCCTTTAAGTACTGAAATTCTGCAGTACAAAAAGAGACATTGTGTTATTCCATTTGTAAGCATTACAACTCAGATTAAACCAGTGGCATTTGTTGGTTCTGTTCATGGCTGTGCATACTTGTCCATTAATAGTACAGAGGAGTGGACTTCAGCTCCTCCAGCACTTGTGCACAAGGATCAAGCGGCATTAGGCCTTTAACTGCAGGCCTGGAGGCTGGACTTAAAACTGTGGGTATAATGAATGTTTACTGCTCTTTTGTATCACTGTCTTTCCGCTTGCTTTCATCCATTGGGCATTGTCTGTGTAAACGAGCACTACAGTCTTTTCTATGTCTGTCTGACTCACCCTCCCGCATGCACATGCACACACAGTAGAGTTGGGGGGGGGGGGGGGGGGGGG